TGGTCTATAATGAGTTTGAGCCCCTACTGTGCTAAAGATGATTTTTCAGAGCAGAATTAAACAAACGGTTAGCATAGAAATTCAAAGTCATGTTGAGCTTTGTGGAGCCTGGTGCCTCTAACACTGCAGTGTGTGCTGTACCAAAACATGCTTTCTAAAAATGGGTGTGCAGATAGTGACACCACAGCTGTGGGGGAGCTCAGAGAGTCAGGGAGCTTTGACTGGGGTCCCTGGTATACACTGCTGAATTGCAGGCTATTAAGGAATTTATTGTACCTATTCAAGTTTCAGATACTTTGTTGGGAAAATGACCTTAGTATTACTAATCTCACAGGGTTGTTATAACTTTTAAATGGGATAATATTTTGCAAATGTGAGACTTCACCATCGGACATGCGTATACCCACAGTCCAGCAATTCTGTTCTGGGAGAAACTCTCACATGTGCACCAGGAGACAGACTAGAATGTTCATAGGAGCACTGCTCACAATGGCAAAAGCGTGGAACGACCCGCTTGCCTCCCCAAGAGCTAGGAGATGAATACAACCTGGTGTAGTCACACAATGGAATATAATACAGCAGTTAAAATGAGTGAACTAATGTGATGTGGGGGAAAAAGAATGAATCATAGCAAAACAATGTTAAGTGAAAAATTATATTAAACGAATTATGTTGTCTCTTAATATGAAAAAGGAGAGTAAATCTTTGCAAAATAATAGTGGATAAAACTAGTAAGTGAAATACTTTAATATTAACTGAAAAATATATTAAATGAAAAAAATTAAAATTAAGTGAAATTTTATTAATTTAAGTAATATTAGGTGAAAAAAATCTGGCCCCCAGAGATTATATTTAGCATAATTTCCCCATTTTTAAAGGTAAAAATGACTAAAATCAATATTCCTTTTAGGAATATGTAGAAAACATCTAGATACAGTAAAACTATGCAAAATGGGAAGAAATGAGTGGTGGGTTCTTAGATCCTTGTTTTATTATTATTAAAATTTTTTTTTTCATTTATTAATTTTAGAGAGAGAGGAAATGAGAGGTAGAGATAGAAACATCAATGAGAGAGAACATCGATTGGCCACCTCCTGTATGCCCCCCACTGGGGATTCGGGCGCACAACCTGGGCATGTGTCATGACCAGGTATTGAACTGGGGTCCTCTTGTTGCATGGGTCGATGCTAAATCGCTGAGCCACACTGGCCGGACTGGTTTATTATCACAAAATTATCTAATTTAATGCCAACTAACTAAAAGGAGGTCATGCATAAACCAGTGATGAGAACATGTGAACCAAGGACATGATTAATCTAGTTCTGAGTCCAAAGTTCCAGTAAAGTGTGTTGTAAATTGTGATATAGGTTGGGTGTTCTCAGCACTGGTCAATCAGCTGCTGTAGTATTTCTTTTGTATTTGAATGATTAAATGTGTAAAGTAAAGTTTCCTCTGGGCCAGGAAGGTTGACCTTAGAGAGCTATGCTTTTATATCTGTGGGTAAGATGTCCGGGAGCAGCCTCAGGAGGAGGAATGGATCAGCCTGGGGGAGGGGTCATCAAATCAAAGATGGGAAGTAAGTGCCTTGGGAGCCACCTTGGCTTCCCACATGACCATGTGAGGGCTCCTAGTGAAACTTGTCCTCCCTATCAATGGAGCAGAAGATGCTGAAGCTAAAATGGGTGACCTCTATGCACACATCATGTCATTTGGACCTGAGCTAGCTCCTTTATCCCGAAAGCCCTGCCACAGTCACCATGCTGAAACGGTTGCATGCCTGAGTGCCTTTGTTCATTCTTGAAACACAGTTCCTGGGGCTCTGGACCCCCAGCATTGACCTAGACACAGTTGTAACACAGAGCCAGAAAGCTCCATTGGCTGTGCTGAGCTAAATGACTGAGGATCACACAGGGTTTGGTGGAACCTTCCAGGGCATGTCTCTGCCCTCTCGCTTCTGAGGATCATCAAGGCATAATGGCCTCTGAATGCTGCTCCTTTTTCCTTTCAACTGTCTGTTTCCCAGCAGGAGCCCTCTGCCCAGTCAGACTGTGGGAGTCAGTCTGAAATTCGGCTCACCTGGTAGAGAACAGTGTAGGTGAGAGTGGGGCCAACATGTCTCCCCATGTAGGATGCTATTCTCCTGGCTGTTTGGGAAGAGAAGACAGAGAGAAGCTAGCCTTTATTGAGCACCTGCTGTGTGCCAGGCACTATATCCATCTCACCAAATCCTGAGTGTCTTTTTTTTAAATCTTTACCCGAGGACATTTTCCCATTTTTTGTTCAGATAGGGTGGGAAGGAGAGAGAGAGAGAGAAACATCAATGTGAAAGGTACACATCGAGTGGTTGCCACCCGCACGACCAACCAGGGCCGGGGACAAACTGCAACCGAGGTACATGCCCTTAGCGGGAACCAAACCCGGGCCTCTCTGGACTGCAGGCCGACACTCTCACCGCTGAGCCAAACCGGCCAGGGCCTGAGTATCTTTATGAAATCTTATTAAAATCTCCCCATCTCTTGGACTTGAAAAACTTTCTATTATGGAAAAAAAAGGCTCCTGATCCTAAAAAATAAATAAATAAAGCTCCTGAACGCCGTCATTCACTGTCCCCCTTCAGCATTTAACAACTCATGAAAAATCTTGTTTTATCTAGATCTCCTACTTCCCTCTCTCCTGAATTATTTTAAAGCAAATCTCAGATATAATTTTATTTGTATTTCAGTATGTATAGCTAAGAGATAAAGATTCCTTAAAAAGTAATCACACTACCATTATCACACATAGAAAATCAAACAATTTTCTTATGGAGTTTTTTGTTCATAAGCATTTTTAAAAATTTTATTTTTCAATTACAGTTTACATTAAATATTATTTTGTATTAGTTTCAGAAGTACAACATAGTGGTTAAATAATCATGTACTTTACAACGTGATCCCCCAAATATTTCAAGTGTCTAACTGGCACCATACATTGTTATTACATTACTATTGACTGTTTTTTCTATGCTGTACTTCTTATGCCTGTGACGATTTTATAACTACCACTTTGTACTTCTTAATCCCTTCACCTTTTTCATCCAGCCACACAACACCCCCACTTATGGATTTTTTTGTTGTTGTTAATCCTCACCTGAGGATATTTTTTCCATTGATTTTTAGAGTGAGTGGAAGGGGGTGGGGAAAGAAAGCCAGAGAGAGAAACATTGATGTGAGAGAGACACAGATTGGTTGCCTTCTGCATGTGCACCCAGGGGGCTGGGGATTGAACCTGCAATCCAGGTACCCTTGATTGGGAATCGAACCCGAGACCCTTTGGTGCGAGAGCTGACGCTCTAACCACTGAGAATACTAGCCAGGGCTCCTTAAGATTTTTAATAAATGGTGTTGGGATACCTGGATCGTAATTTGGAAAGATATCAAAGTAGATCCATACCTCACACAATACATCAGAATAAACTCCAAGCAGATCAGAGATCTAAATGTGAAAAATAAACTATAATGTCCTAGAAGAAAACATGAATCTGTCGGGGTTGGGAGGAGAGCCTTTTTTTTTTTTTTTTTTTTTTTAACTATGCCTCAAATTTCAGATGCATAAAATGTTAATGAACTTAATTATATTAAATATATATATTTTTGCATTGACAAAAAACCATAAGCAGGTCAACAGACAAACAACTGGGGGAAATATTTACCAGAGATGTCACAGATAAAAGGCTTATCTTCTTAACACAGAGAACATTTAATAAATGGGAAAAGAGAACAAACCAAGACCTGATAGAAAAATTGGCAAAAAACATGAACAGACAATTCACAGAAAAAGATATACAGATGGCTCTTAAACATTTGAAAAGATGCTCAACTTCTCTTAGTAAGCAAAATGCAAAAGAAGCCCCACTGAGAGATCATTTCTCATCCATGTGATTGGCAGACATTCCAAGGTTTGATCACACACACTGGTGGCTTCAGGAAAGTCTCTCATCCAATGCTAGTGGGAGGGCAAAGTGACCCGAGCCCTGTGGAGGGGAATTTGTCAGAACCTCAAATGTATTTACTGCTTGACCCAGCAAGACTTGCAGGTATTTACATGGAAGATCTTCTCCACACATCCAGAACAGCTATGCCAGCGTTACTCACTGCAGCTTTATTTACAACAGTAAAACACTGGAACATGGAGACTGATTGAATAAATTATGGTACTTTAAACACACAATAAGTCAAATGCAGTAATTAAAATAATAGTAATAATAGTAAAGGAAGATCTCCATGTTGTAGCATAGAGTGATTTTTAGGGCATATTCAGTTAAAAACCAGCCCGGCCGGTGTGGTTCAGTGGATTGAGCATCGTCCCATGGACAGAGGTCCCGGTTCAATTCCTGGTCAGGCCACATGGATGGTTGCAGGCTCAATCCCCAGTAGGGGGCGTGCAGGAGGCAGCTGATCGCTGATCCATGTTTCTCTCTCCCATTGATGTTTCTATTGCTCTTTCTTCTTCTCTCTAAAAAAATCAATAAAAAAAATATTAAAAACGCCCTGGCCGGTTTGGCTCAGCGGTTAGAGCGCCCGCCTGCGGTCCGGAGAGACCCGGGTTCGGTTCCCGCTAAGGGCAAGTACCTTGGTTGCAGTTTGTCCCCGGCCCTGGTTGGTCGTGCGGGTGGCAGCCACTCGATGTGTCCCTTCACGTCGATGTTTCTCACTCTCTCTCTTCCTCTCTCTCCCTCCCACTCTGTCTGTATAAAAAATGGAAAAATGTCCTCGGGTGAGAATAAAAAAATGAAAAAAAAAGAAAAAAAAAAAGGTAAAAACCAAATTACAAACCAAACCAGTTAAACAAAAACCCCAAGGTATCAAAGAATGTATATAGTGTTCTACCTTTTATGTAAGGGTCTTAAAATCAGAATTTGGAGGTGGGGAGATGCCTGGGGGGTAGTGGGGGGCACTGTTTGGTACCAGAGCTCTTGAGGAAGCATCAAGTCTTCCTACCTGTTCCACCCCCATCACCAGGCCCATGAGAGGCTGGAGGAGACAAAGCTGGAGGCCGTTCGGGACAACAATCTGGAGCTGGTGCAGGAGATCCTGCGGGACCTGGCGCAGCTGGCCGAACAGAGCAGCACCGCCTCTGAGCTGGCCCGCATCCTCCAGGAGCCTCACTTTCAGGTTTCTTCCAGGCTGCGGTGGCAATTCGGGCTGGCCAGTGGGGGAGGGGCCGGCAGAAAGTTGGAGGTGGGATAGAAAGGGACTGCAGGGCACTGCTCCATGGTCCCTTCTCTTCTTATCACCTCCCCAGTCCCTCCTGGAGACTCACGACTCTGTGGCCTCAAAAACCTATGAGACACCACCCCCCAGCCCCGGCCTGGATCCCACATTCAGCAACCAGCCTGTGCCTCCCGATGCCGTTCGCATGGTGGGCATCCGCAAGACTGCTGGAGAGCATCTGGTGAGGGTGCTGGGCAGGGCCACATGTGGGGTCTGGATGGGAGTATTGAGGGGAACCAGCAGAGGTCAAATTCAATCTGGAGAGGGCTGAAAACGAAGGTGGGATCAACTTTGCCGAGGGATGGCCCAGGCAGACCTAGGAGATCGCAGGCAGTGCCTATGAGCTGCACATGTACCTGTGCCAGAACCCTCTTCGTCTGCCCACTTTCCCTCCTGTAGTGCTCCTGTAAGAGAATTAGGGCAGAGGATGGAAGAGAAGTCTGTGAGGGTGAGGTGGGAGGGTGGGGATGGCAATGGGGGTGCTGGAGACCTCATGAAGAGATTCTGACATGAGTATTTGGGGCCTCATCTTACCCACTCTCCATGCCCCAGGGCGTGACATTCCGCGTGGAGGGTGGCGAATTGGTGATCGCACGCATTCTGCATGGGGGCATGGTGGCTCAGCAAGGCCTGTTGCACGTGGGCGACATCATCAAGGAAGTGAATGGGCAGCCAGTGGGCAGCGACCCCCGCGGGCTGCAGGAGCTCCTGCGCAGTGCCAGTGGCAGCGTCATCCTCAAGATCCTGCCCAGCTACCAAGAGCCTCATCTACCCCGCCAGGTGAATTCCTCCACCAAGGTCCCCATCCAGCATAAAGCCCTAGAGGCAGCTGAACCTCCCTGCTGTTAGGGTCACAGGCCTCGGGGTGGGAGCAACTCTTCAACCAGCTCTGAAAAGCAAGATCCCCTGTGGCTGGGGATGGGGAGGCAAGTGACCCAGCCACCTCCTGGCATCTGTGTTTATAGAGCTGCACTCGTGCATTTGCCCTGGTCTTGGGCACTCATGCCTATGTACAAGGGATGTGCATGCATTCAAGTGTACAAGTGAGTGCCTGCACTGTGTGCAGTGTCTGCGTGGGTGTGCAGTCGGATTGCCAGGTGTTCTGTACAGCTGCCTCCCGGTTGGTGGACTGTGGAGTCTGGCTGCTTTGCCCACTTCTATTGGCTCTCTAGCAGTCTGCCAGAGCCTCTTCCTCCAAGAGGAGAGAGTGAGTGGATGGAAGGATTCTGTATTAGGTGTCAGGGTCTCTGTCCTTTACCTGGTGACCCAGCTCCCTGGGCCTGAGCAGATCTCCCATCCTTCTGATTGAGTCCTTTTGTTTTAGATGCAAAAGGAGGCTGGTACTAGGGAGGTGGGCCTGGCAGGCCTGGGGGCATCATGCCTTTAAAGGGGCAATGCCAGGGCCCCTCTCTTTGTGAGGGAAGGGGCAGAGGGTGGGCTGTATGACATTACCCCCCACGGGGATTGGGGGCTGTGGACTAGGGGAGGGAGAGGACACCCTCTTCAACTTTCCCCTGCTTCTTCCCTTGACCCATCCCTACTCCCTGGTTCAGGTATTTGTGAAATGCCACTTTGACTATGACCCGGCCCGAGACAGCCTCATCCCCTGCAAGGAAGCAGGCCTGCGCTTCAGTGCTGGGGATTTACTCCAGATTGTAAACCAGGATGACGCCAACTGGTGGCAGGTGAGCCCTGGGTGCCCATGCAGTCTCTCCAGGTATGGTGTGTGGGGTAGATGAGGGTTTGGAGGGGTCCCCTCACTCAGGCAGAGCTTTGCCCATGTCCGTTTTAGGCATGCCACGTGGAAGGAGGCAGTGCCGGGCTCATTCCCAGCCAGCTGCTGGAGGAGAAGCGGAAAGCCTTTGTCAAGCGGGACCTGGAGCTGACACCCACCTCAGGTATAAGCCCCCCACTCCTAATCTGGCCTCTGACTTCGTCCCAGCCTGGCCTCACTCACCCATCTCTCTGTGGCCAGGGACCCTGTGTGGCAGCCTTTCAGGAAAGAAAAAGAAACGAATGATGTATTTGACCACCAAGAATGCAGGTGAGTGTTAGAAGCCCCCGTCCCCTGTCCTTCTCTAACATGGCACATCCCGTCTGCCCTTACCAGTGACTTGTGCATATGTTCACCTGGTTCTGATGCTGCCAGTCTTGTCCGTAGGCCCTGCCCTGCCCGGTTTCTTCCTGCAGCCCCTGGCCCTGAGAACCTAGCCCCACCCTTTTCACCTGATGAACAGCTTGATTAGCAGTGCCATCTCCCTGTGTCCAGAGTTTGACCGCCACGAGCTGCTCATTTATGAGGAGGTGGCCCGCATGCCTCCATTCCGCCGGAAAACCCTGGTGCTGATCGGAGCTCAGGGTGTGGGTCGGCGCAGCCTGAAGAACAAGCTCATCATGTGGGATCCAGACCGCTATGGCACCACAGTGCCCTGTGAGTGGGAGCTGGGCCCTGCGGGGTGGGGATCAGGAAGTGGGAATGCCCTGGAGGCCAGGTCTGGGTCCCCTGAATGGGCATATGTGTGGGAACCACAAGGAGCACTTTTGGGTATGAGGTGTGAGACAAGCGCCCTCTGTGGGTTTGTGGGGAAACTGCAGGCAGGGGAGGTTTTGGGGAGCTGTCTGGTGAGCTTGTGGCCAGGTGGGCTGAGCCAGCCTTGCTTTTCCTTCTTTCATGTTTCCCTTGCTAAAAGTCCAGCTGGGCATCCATGTGAAACCAGCAATGAGCTGTGTGTGACCTTGTGAAAGACAGGGATTCTTGGTGACAGAACCAGTCAGCGTGGTGGAAGCTCTTGCTTCCTGGAGGCAGGAACCTGAATGCTGACCCCAGGTCAGCTTGGCCTTGCTTTATGGCTGCACATGGTCCTCTCTGGGACCCAGCTCCCCATCTGTGAGCACTGGGCTGGAGCAGTGATCTATCGCTGAAATTTCTCTCAATATGGAAGTCTAGCCCTGGCCAGTGTGGCTCAGTTGGTTGAGCATCATTCCATGCACAGAAAGGTCACCAGTTCGATTCCTGGTCAGGGCACATATCCACGTTGCAGGTTTGATCCCCGGTTGGAGTGCTTACGGGAGGCAACTGATTGATGTTTCTCTCTCTCCCTCTCCCTCTCCTTTCCTCTCTCTGTAAAATCAATAAAATATTTTTTAAAATATGGAAGTCGGAAAGCTCAGTGTGTGGGCCAGTGGTGAGGGTGGGGCACGGTGTGTGGGAAGGCAGCAGAACTGATAACGTGGAGGGCAGGCTGCACCCCTAGGGCTGTGTGACACATGTAGAATGCGGCGGGCCTGTGCCCACTCAGCCCCTGCTTCCTTCTAGACACATCCCGGCGGCCCAAGGACTCAGAGCGGGAAGGCCAGGGTTACAGCTTTGTGTCTCGATCGGAGATGGAGGCTGACATCCGTGCTGGGCGCTACCTGGAACACGGCGAATATGAGGGGAACCTGTATGGCACACGTATCGACTCCATCCGGGGTGTGGTTGCTGCCGGCAAGGTGTGCGTGCTGGATGTCAACCCCCAGGTACTGCCGGGCCCACCCTTTCCCAGCCTGCTCAGCGTCCCCTCTGGATACTCTGATTCCCCCAGCACTCCTCCCCGTATTTCCAGGCACTTGTCTCCCAAGACCACCCATGTAACCCCTCAACTACTGCTAATGACCTAGCCCCCCAGACCTTCTATCTCAGCCTCCCAGACTCCCGACTCCTCTAGTCTTCTTCAGTTCCCCCCTCCCTGGCCACTTGCCAGCTGTTCCTCTAACATTCATCTCTGGGACTAATGTCCCAGAACCCCAGGTATCCTTTTCTCATTCATTCCCAGGTACCTGTCCTCACCCCATCACCCCAACCCTTGTGTCCTTCTACAGGCGGTGAAAGTGCTGAGAACAGCTGAATTTGTTCCTTACGTGGTATTCATCGAGGCTCCCGACTATGAAACCCTTCGGGCCATGAACCGGGCTGCACTGGAAAGTGGGGTGTCCACCAAACAGCTTACGGTGAGGAGCTCTGAGGTGCAGTGGGAAGAGTCTGATGGCGGCCTGGGGTTGGAGGGGGCAGACCAGAGCTGATGAGAAGAAGGGGGTGTTGAGGAAGGGGAGAGACACCTATTCAAGGTATCAGTGAGGGAGGACTTGAGGTTTCCACTTTATAGGTCTGGAAATGGAGATCTGAGCAAGGAAGTGAAGTGTGCGGATTTTCTTAGAGTCAGGGACACAGCTAGCCAGAGGCGTAGGAGCATCTGCCGGGCCCACTGCACAGTCCACTCTGTGGGGACAGTGCTGACCAAAGGGAGCCCGGAAGGTCAGTGGAATATCTGTAGGAAAGGCTGAAGGGAGGGAGGAAGACAGGCTGGAAGGCTGGCTGAAGGGATGAGTTAGCATTAGGGAGGAGGCAGCAGTGCTGGGAGGAGAGACTTCAGGACAGGTATTGCAGGACTCCAGGGAAGCCCCCTCCTCCTAGGTACCCCTTGGAGCAGCCTTTCCCAAGAGGTATGGGTTTGCAGAGTTCTGAGCGTAGGTGTCTCTCTGCGGGCCTCCTGGAGTGCAAGGCCCCCTGGCGGCCATACCTGGTACTGCAGCTCTCAGGGTCCAGGTCACAGCATTGCTCAGGTCTTGGAGAGGTGGTTTGGGCTGGGCTCCCCTCTGCTGCATGCCCCTCTGGCCACAAATACCTAAGACTGGTGCTACTGGGACACACTGGGCCAGCACTAGAGCTCCCACCTCGGCTCATTTAAGTCAGTGTTCAATTTCCCTTCCCACCCCTGCCTGATCAGCTGGGACTGGGTCTGGGGTGGCGGTTGCCTTGGGCACTTGTGGATTGCCCCAGGACCAGGGTTGACAAGTGCCTCTCACCCTGCCTAGCTAGATAAGGGGGCCCAGTCAGACTGGAGCACTGGCTTTGGAGTCAGCCAGACTCTGTGTAGCCACTGGCTGGCTGAGTGAACTTTCTGTACCTCAGTTTTCTCTGTTGTATACGTATGGGGAATAATTAGTCTTGCCTTGCAGAGCTGTGGTGAAGATGTGGGCTGTAAAGAGGTTAGTGCCATGTTTGGCACTTACTAAGGGCTATTTCCGTCCTTTCTTCCTTTTACCTGTTTGTCTGTCCATGGTTGCAGGAGAGCCACCTTGGGACGTGTAGGAACGGGCTCCTAGTCAGGGAGTCTGTACCCAGCATGGTTGGAAGCTAGATGGGGCAGGCTGTAGATTCCCCTGATGATGGGGGTGAGTGGGGGACACTGACCGATGGGGGGTTCCCTTGTGTTTGCAGGAGGCAGACCTGAGACGGACAGTGGAGGAGAGCAGCCGCATCCAGAGGGGCTACGGGCACTACTTTGACCTCAGCCTGGTCAACAGCAACCTGGAGAGGACCTTCTGTGAGCTCCAGACTGCCATGGAGAAGCTGCGGACGGAGCCCCAGTGGGTGCCTGTCAGCTGGGTGTACTGAGGCTGCTCAACTGGACTTTATCCCCTCTGGGTTGTGACCCAGGAACCTGAGTCCATCCCTTTCCCAACAGTCCCTCAACCATGATCTTTAGCTCCAATCCCTGGGCTCTGGCTCCCAGGTGGCAGCTCCTAGTAGGCCCTAAGCCTGGCTTCGGCACAGAGGCGTGCACTGCCAGGGAGGTGGGTATTCATGGGGTACCTCTGTGCCCAGGTGCTGCCCCCTCCTGATGCCCATTGGCCACCAGATGTTCCTCTCTGAAGGCCAAGCTGTGCCCAGGAGTGTGTCAGAGTCACCTCCAAAAGGCTCAGTCCAGAGAAGAGAAGAGCTGCTTTGGGACCATGTGGTCAGTAGGTACACTACCCCTGCACACTCTCGTCACCTTTTCTCCTCTGGACTGGCCACTCAGCATTCCTGAGCTCCTCCCACCTCTCACCCCTGTGTCCTAGGAGCAGGCCTTAGGCCTTTTCTATCTGTGCAGGGGAGTGCACGGCCCCGTGGCAGCCAGGCAGGCCTGGGCAGTGGTGGCAGCCTGGTGCCATCCTGAAGGCTGCAGGAACCAAAGCATGAGCCAGTTGTCACAGCCAGAGGGCAGTGCAGCTCTCTGCCTACTTGGAATGAGGCGGAGTCCTGTGAGGGACACTGCTCTGTATTTCCCTCATCCACAGCTTTTCACTGCCGAAGTCTCTCCATAGACTTCTCCAATGTGCCCCTGACAGGTCAGCTCTGCTGGCCGCAGGCCAAGGCCGGCAGGGGTTGGCAGGCTCAGCTCCGGTCAGTGTGGGTTGCGGGCTGAGCCCCGCAGCCCGGAGCCTGCTACTACTGACTGAAGAGCTCCGAGCTCTCCTTGGCCCATGGTGAGGCCACACCTGGGCTCCCTGTTCATGACCATTGTCCATTTTGGTCTTTGCTGTGGCCAGGCCCACGTGGTCCGCTTGTATTGGGCTGACTGGGGTTGAGGAAGGGTGCGGAGGGGAGTGAGTGCTGGGCCATGGAGGGTTGTGCTCTGGCCGGCTCCTCACTGCCCAGCTTCAGGGCGTGCCATCCATACGGTCTCTGTGCAGTTTATGTCCCACATGTCACACACTGGGTCTGGGTTTCTCTCAGGCTTGGTTTTTGGAGAGGAGAAGCTTTGCAGATCACTCTTTGGGTCCCCTTTTCAGGGTTTCCCATCAGTTCCATGTCTTATGAGATCCTTATGTCAGATTCTAGAGCCTTGACCCTCCCAGATGTCATCCTCCAGCTCTCCTATTGTCCTCTGACGCTAATTGCTACTCTCCCATCCTTGGGGAGGGCAATCGTGTAAAATAGGAGAATCCACCCCTCCTTCCCTTTTTTTTTTAAGAAAGAGGAAGGGAGAGAGAGAAAGATCAATGTGAGAGAGAAAGATCAATCAGTCGCCTCTGCACACGTCCCAACTGGCGATTGAATCCGCAGCCTGGGTGTGTACCCTGACCGGGAATCTAACCCACAATGCTCCAACCAACCGAGGCACATTGGCCAGAGTGAGAATCCCTTAAGGAAAGAATGCTGACCTCATCTTTCCCAGGCATCTCCTCCCCCATCCTCCTCTGTGAGCCTCCCTGGCGAGCCTGTCCGGGCAGGGACCACTCCAGTCCCTGTGCCTCCTGGTCCTTCTGAATGTTTAGTCGGTGTTCGCTGCGAGTCAGCCGCAGCTGGCCTCTGAACCACTGTGTGCCCATTTCCTAGGGAAGGGGAGGGAGAAGAAAAAATATTTATTACAAAGTTAGAAATATATTTATTATATTAGGGATCTCATTGCATTTGCATAGGGTATGCAAATGAGATGTCAAGGTCAAGCCTGCTCCCATCTCATTTGCATAGCTGCATTCATTATGCAGTCATCTTTCTACTCCTCTTTTCCCTTTATCCAGCCTTCTTTTTATCCATTCTGCTCTCACATCACCCTGACCCTCAGCCCAAGGGGACTGGGAGTGGGAGGAAAATGGGGTGTTGTGCTGGCCTGAGGCCATGGTGTCCTTTGCCAGCTCCCATCTCACCTGGGGGGCTTGGAGTGGAGGCAGCAGGGGATCTGCTATGGGGGCCACCCGCTCCGCCTTGGTTAACCTCTAAAGCCCTCTGACTAAAAGATGGGGCTGGGGGAGCTGGGCACCTTGCTGGGGAGTTGGCAGGTGGCCCTTTAGGGTGAATCTCCAGTGTTGATGCTGTCTGGCACCTTCACCTACAGTGGGCAGGCTGGGTCCATCTCCTGTCTCTGTCCCTCTCTGAACAGCGTGCTACCTCCTCTGCATAAGCCCCACTCCATGAAACAGGTGTGTGCGCCCACCGGGTTAGCTCTGTCTCCCTCCCACTGTGGACGCTTGTATTTGAGGGACCTCAGGACAATGAGGCCCCTGTCATCCACTGTCCACACGAAGTCCCAGCCCAGTGGCCCTTCCCCTCTCCCTTCCCTCAGCCATCCTGAGCTTTCTGTCTGACTGTTTTCTTTCTTTTCCCTTGATTAAATGTGAAAGCAAAGGTTTCTGGGCTGTTTGTCTTTGGTTGGGGTGGGGTAGATGGCTTCTGGAGAGGGCGAGAGCAGGGAACACAGCACAGATGATTCTGGAATGGAATCTGAGTGGGATCTCCTGTGTTCTGCGATGTCTCCTGAAATTTCCAGTCCTGTCACTCCACACTCCCCACCCGCAGAAGATGGTCCTTCTAATTACTTGTATCCAGTAATCTGGGAGCATTCTCGGGGGCCAGGGGACTCGGACTCTATGGCTAATCTACTCGGCTTCACCTGGAACTTGCTGTGTGGTGTTTAGCAGGTCCCTCTACTTCTCTGGACCTCAGCAAGCTTTTTTGTTTTTTGGGGGGTAGGGGTGTACAGATTGGTAAAGCCGTGTGGTCCAGTCAAGATGGGCAGATCTGCTGCTTTTGCACCAGGCTTAGGGGCCCACACTCAGGTCACTGTGACACCCCTCCCAGCGGCCAGTGCTGAGGGCCTGTCATATACTCAGTGTTGTAGGTGAAGAGCACTTCCCTCTTACCTGACGGGTGCCCCAAAGCACACCACATCCCCTTGCTTTTTCATGGGCTTTCCGCCTTCTCTGCCTCTGTTTTCTCTTCCCCTGAGAGCCACTGCCTCCCGGGCGGGCGAACTTAGAAAATCTCCCCTCAGTGGACTAGGGTCACACAATCCGATTGTCAAGGGGCAGGGGAAGGAAGGGTGTGCTCAATACATGCATTTTTTCCTATCAACACTCTCTTTTGGTATTAAAATGTTTCTTTTAAAGAAACAAATTATTTTGTTAAGGTCCCAGTCTGGCAAGACGAAACACTAGCAACTCTTCGATGTTTCCCTAATTTCTTCCTGAAGTTTTTCCTCTCAGCAAGTCTGCAGCTGGAAACCCTTGCTCTCAGGGTCAGTGAGCAGTGACTCGGTGCCTTCTTTGGTTCAAGGGCATTGAACAGAGTCTTACGTACCTACGGAAGGTTGCAGAGCTGGATATTTTGGGGTGCAAATGCAAATGTAAAACCAAGGTGTAGCAAGCGGGGGGGGGGGGGATTGCAGACTGGCAACCAAAGGGAGTGGTCTTGCCCCCCTGCTGGGAGGGCGAGCTGGGCAGGGAGAGCCCAGGTGGGAGTTAGAGGGGTGTGTGAGCACCTGTGATTCGTGAGTGTCGGATAAATCCACAGAAACTTGGAATCCCATGAATGCCAATTTTAGGTTGCCTTGAAGAGAGCCCGGCCACAATAGACATCAATCTGTTTAGTGGGCACATGATCTGAGAATGGCCCAGGGGTGGGACTGGGATGACCCGGCGGCCACAGGTGACAGGTTGAGAGGGTAGGAGGGTTCTTTCCCTTCTGACCAACCCCAGTTCTCATTAGCTTCCGGCCTAGGGATTTCTCAAGGGGGAAGTCTGCAATGGGTGGAATTTTGGGGTCTCTGAGACAATCTGAAACTTGCTGCTCCCTATCTTCCTGCAATATCTGGACACACACTGTGCCCAGATCCTGGTCAGAGCCCCCAGAGCTCAGACCTGGGGGCTCCCTCTTCCATGGAGAACCTGGGTAGTGCTCACCCTCACTAGGGGCCTCGGGCACTGGCTGGCACCTTCTGGCGAGTGTCCCTCGCTTCATCAGACCAGCTCCACCTTACCCAGCCCCCCTGGCCCTGAAGGGTCTCCCTGCTGGGGCATTCCTGGGTGGTTTTGTTAGTGGTCCAGACTGAGTCTAAATGCTCAGTAGTTGCCAACTAAAAGACAACTTCAAAATGGTTTTATAAGAATAATCTGTATTGCAAGCTAGCAAGCAAGGAACACACCAGGGATCGCTCTCAGAGTGTGTCCTCCTGACCAAAGCATCTGATCTGTATTGGGGGAAATCATGCATAAACACCAAGGCGGGGTTCATCATTGCAGGTATGGGGGGGACATTCCAGCAATGCCTACATCACCTATTCAAAAATGGTGGAAAATGTCTGCCCCTGGGTGGAGACCTTAGTATTATTATGAGGAAAGTTCATGAAAAGGCCACTAGAGAGTCCTTCAAGCTGCTTATCTGGTTCACCCCCTGGTCCTTCAAAATATCCTGTCCTTGGTCCTGTAAACAGTGTGGGTTATCATCAGGGGCAGGGATTACCGCTGTAATGGAGGAATTTTAGTTGATTACATAGATCACAAGATAACACATTACACAAACCATTAATTCTAGGGTGATTCTGGGCAAAGTTATAGACTCTACATAAAAGGTTACTTCACGCTAGACCACCTGCTGGGCTACATATACAGGTCAGATGAGGTGACCGTTTCTCCTATCACATCCACAGGGATGGGTGTGGAGGCTGGAAGGACTTAGAGAGAGAGATGCTGGTTGTAAGGCCCCGGTGGGAGTGAAATTGGTTCTGCATTTCAGAAAGCTGTGTTAACAAGGAAAACTTCCAGGGCTGAATGCTTTTTAAAAATGTATTTATTTATTTATTCTGTCTTTATTGATTTTAGAGAGAGAGAGGAAGGGAGAGAGATAGAAACATCGATGAGAGAGAATATCGATTGGCCACCTCCTGCATGCCCCCCACTTGGGGCTTCGGCCCACAACCTGGGCCTGTGCCCTGACTGGGAATCGAACCAGAGACCTCTTGGTGCATGGGTCAACGCTCAACCACCGAGCTACACCAGCTGGGTGGAAAAGCACAATTAAATTAAAGCACACTGATGTGATGAAATAGTACATGGCTGATAAACATTTTATTTATACATGGTTTGTAGAAACGTGGAGTGATGCATATATGCTATAATAATTAAGTGGGAAAAGCAGGATATGAAGTTGTATATGCAAAGTAATTTGTGAAGAACACCAGCAGGTGATATGAAGAAAAAAGACTGAAATACAACAAAATGCACTAATGATGGTCTCTGGGTAGTGCCGAGATGATGGATAACTTATTTTCTTCTTTTTCCCTCCATCTTTCTAAGTTTTGTATACTGGTCAATGCTCTGCTCCCCATTTCACTTTTAAAAAGGTAGAAAAAGAAAAAAGTAGTTCAGGTGGCCAGACTCAGGGTCACCTTGAGGTTCCCCTTAGGTTCCTGCCCTATCCCCTTCCTCCCCCATTTTAGGGACTCATCTGCACCAGGGTTTTCCTACCACTCACCCCCCCCCCCATAGGCAATTAACCCTTTCTTGACAAGGAAGGAGCCAAGCTTTTCTCCATCCTTCCAAAGCCTGGAATGGAAGTCTGGCTGGGTGGGGAGATCGGAAAGGCAACTCCCTGCCTCCCGGTGTGAACTCAGGCCGGCCCCGGAAAGCCTCCAGCTGGGTCACGGTTTTGTAGGCAGAGCAGCACTATAGGGGCAGGTGGAAGACCCCACACTCCAAATGCAGCTACTAAGCTGGAGGGACCCCAGAGTTCATTGGGCCCAGGAGTTCTCCACCTCGAATCACCAGGCGCTTGTTAGAAACGCAGAGTCCTGGGCCCAGCCCCAGGGACGGTTTTGATGGAGCCCAGGAATCATATTTTTCACGAGCTTCTTGAAGGACTGGATGCGGTGGTTCATAGCTGCACTTTGAGAAATCAGACCCGGTCTAACTCCAGCATGTTCCTTCCTCCTCCCAGGCTTATTTAGGGGGAAGTGGTGCTGAGTCTGAGGATGGGAGGAAGGGAGGAGACGCAGCAGATACACTCAGACCGGTCGTCTGAGCCCTGCCTGGCTCCGGTGAGACCCAGCGGCTGCACGCCCTGCCGAGGGATGCTGCAGCGTAGGTCCCGGTTCTGCTGGAACTGAGGCAAGCACGGCAGGCTGCCAAAGGCTTCCAGGTCAGGCTGGGGCAATCAGGAGGGGAGCCTGGGGAAGCTGGGCAGAGCCCTGGAGTCTGGCGGTGAACTCTGAGGCCATGGCAGAAAGCTTATTCGAATGAGCGCAAATCCAGCCCCTCGGGTTCGTGGTTCACAGCAGGCCTGCCTGGAGGGTGTTCTGTGGCTAGACTGGAACGAACATGGAGGATCTGAGCTCCTCCTCAGCCGTGTGGAGGGGAGGCCCCGGGCTAGCCTCAGCCTCCAGGTCCTGGAAAGAGGCTTCCTCTTCCTCTGCGGTCTGTCGAGACAACAGTGGGGTTGAAAGGAGTCCAGTTAGGGGTCTCTAAGTGGCTTCTGGGTCCACCCAGTCTTTCCCACAGTTCCAGGCCTCTGTCCATCTGAGGGGGCACAGGAACTGACAACTTCTCCCCTGAACCCTCAGGCTTTGACGACCCCCCCCAATCCATCCATCCCCTGAGGGAGCCTTAGATGTTGGATTCCTGCCAGCCCTATAAGCTGCGATTCCCAACAAGCTATTCGAGAATTTTCTGGATGGGAAAAAGAGGATGTAAGGTCAAGAGCTCTGGCTCCCCAGTGAAATGGCCAAGGCCTGTGGTTATGATGGGGTAGGTGGATGCATGGGGGGAGCAGAATTTGGGGGGTATGCAGAGGAAAGAGCCCTCTCCCGCCTCCCCACACTGTCAGAGAGGAGTCAGGCTCCAGACCCCCAGGGCCCTTTGTGCACACCTGGCTTTGGCACCGGATATCCGTGCAGGGGCTGGCAGAGGGGTTGGGGCTGGCAAGAGGCCCAGTGGGTGCTGCAAGGTTGATCACAGCGTACTCCGGGACCAGGCTGTTCCCCAGAGGCTGAAACAGAGACTCCGTCAGAACGGCCCGTTCTTGGGAGCTGGGGTGGAGATGGGAAATGCAGGAGGGGTGGGCAAGGGGGAGGAGAACATGGACTGTGGAGTCCGAGTCCTTAGGTCCAATTTCCTAGGTCTCTGTGTGACCTTGGGCAAGCCACCTAACCTCCTTGAGGCTCAGTTTCCTAAGCTGTAAAATGGGAATGAGAATTTTTTCCTCAGGGTCATAATGACTATTCATGATAACGTTTTTATCCCTCAACAGCTGGGGACTCCTGCAATAATTAATTTGTTTTCTTTATTGTTATTTCTAGCTTTGGCTGCAGATTCTTTGTAACAGGCCCAGAGAGAGCAAAGTTGGACACCTCACAGATTCATCGAGTAACAAACAGCACAGGAAGAATTCTTCAGAGATCATCAGCCTGAGTAACCCCTCCTTGATCAGATGAGGAAACCGAGGCCCAGGGAAGAGAGGTGGGCGATCCAGAGTGAGTAGAGACACCCATCTCCTCACCCAGGCCCTCCTGACCCCATGAGTCCTCAGGTTGGGATGCCAGGCCCCTCCACTTCCTGCTCCCTTGTCCTAGCAGCTGGACAGAGCACGGACGGAGTTGGTCAAGGTCCCTGGCCAAGTCTCCCAAGGGCACAGTTGCCCTGAGGTGCCCGGTCACGAGTCTCATGGCTTGATGGGCCCTGAAGCCAAAGAAAGGAGCTACCATTTTCTGGACACCTACGGGTTGTCTCATCTCATACTTTCCTAACTACAGCCCTGTTAGGTGGGGAAACTGAGGCTCAGAGAGGTTGTGTAACTTGCTGCTGAGTGGCTAAGCTGGGACTTGTACTCACTCGCCACTATTTGACCCAGACCCAAGCTCCTTTCCCGCAGCTTTCCGGGGGCGTGTAGCACACTTCTCTGTGCAGGGCCTTGTCTACTAACCGGCTCCTCCTTTGGTCAACACTCTGGCTTCAGGGGATGGGGCAGAGGTGGATGTTTGAGGGCACAGGAAGTGGGGGAAGGAGGAAGGAGATTTCATAAATGCTGTCACTCATGGTCCTTGTCCTCCAGCCCTGCCTCTGGTGAGGACATGGCAGAGCTGGGCTGGCAGAGGACTCCTGAGTGCATGCAGGACCATTTCCCATTAATCCCATGTTTATGGCTCTGTGATTCGGTTACAATGCAGCCACTGCTAACCACTGGCCACCAGCAGCCACGGAAGTGTCACCTACTCAAGGGGGACTGAATTTGAGGAAAGAACCTCATGAGGCAGAGACCAAATGACACAGGTAGGCAGTGGCCAGGACCACTACCCCATGTCCAGTCATCGGTCCCAACCTGTCATCGGTCCTTCTGCCCACACTATGGACAATTGGCCTATTCTAGCCAGTGTAGGGGTATTTTTGGGGTTGTTGAACCCGCAGATATATATGAGAGCCCCTGCTTTTGGGCACTAGAGAAACAGGAGCAAAGATACAGAGAAACCTTGAAAAGTTCTGATCTGAGCCCAGAACTCCCAGCTGGGCCATCCATTACAGGAGTCGGGGCCATGGACCAAAGGAGGCTCTTTGTCCTGAGTCTGGGGGAAGAGTCTTGGGCTGAGGAGTTGGCTCCATCCCTCAACCTCCTGTTCTTCAATATGGGGAGTGGAGAAGCACAGGGGGTTGCAGCTGGCCCCACAGACTACAGTTAGTTTTCCCAGTTCTGCCTTTTTCCTGCTGGGTCACTGTGGGCAGGTTACTTACTCTCTCTGAGCCTCTGTTTCTCATTCTGTATAAAGAGGGGGACAACACCTAGCTGCGTGGGAGTTGCAAAGACTCAGTGACATGCGCAGGAGTTAGACTCAGTGACATAGCCCTGGAAAGCCCCGGCACACAGTAGGTTCCCGAAAAGAGTCAGAGGCTCTGGCAGTAGCCTCTTGGGAAGGAAGATGCTCTTCTGACCACTGACACGTCCCTCTGAGTTTTTACACAGCTCGCAGAGTGAGTAGGGTGTCCTCTTCCCTCAGACCTGAATGTGGGCAAAGAAAACCCCAGCCCTTTCAACTCCACCTCCAGACGCTGCTCAAAACTACAGAGAAGCCAAAGAAAAGCAAACGTTCTCAATTGGTCATGTTCACAGCGTCTTGCCTCGGACCCTCTCAGGAGACAGACCTGCTCCATTCTTCTCCAGCAAAGGGCCCCCCCACCCCGACACACAGCTCCTCTGCTCACGGCCCGGTGCCCCTTCCACAGGCACACAGGCAGGAAGCAGAGCAGGGGACACCACTGGGACAAGCACTCTCCACCCCCATGGCCTTCCCACAGCAGCATGGAGATTCTCCTACTCCAGCCCCTCTTCTGGCAGTGGGCTGGAGTGAGCCCCAGATGAATAGCCAGGAGGCTGGGCTTTGAAAGTGGCCAGTGGCAGCACCCTGTCCATCTCCTTGACCTTTCCCTCACTCCGTTCATCACCTTTGGCTTTGTAGAGCTTCCTGAGACAACAACAGCTACTTCCCAAGCCACGCCCATAGCTCCTTCCCACCCCTCCGGAGAGGGATCAGGCCTGAGGCTTTTGTCTTGGCTGGCGCCAGGAAAGAAGGCATCCTGGCCTCCTTTCCTGCCCCCTGATAAAGGAATCAGAACGGAGGCATCTCAGTAAACAGCTGAGGGAGGAAGGGTTGGATGAGGCAAGTGGGGCTTTGGTTTCCTGAATCTGGGATTCTGCAGCCCTCTCCTTACATGGGAAGGGACAGTCTCTCTGCAGGGATCAGGGAAGGGCCCTGCAGTAGGTAGCCTCAGGGCAGGAAGATGGGCAAGCGACCCCATTCCTTCTTCCTCCTGGTTCCCAGAGCACCACCTTCAGCCTATGTCTCAGAGCCAAAAAACGCTCAGAGGAAACATTGGGGTGTTCTGGAAAGAGAAAAGACAGGAGTTAAGGAATCTGGGTCCTGTTCTCCATTTGGGCCACCACTTGCTGTGTGACCCTGGGCAAGATTTTTACCCTCTCTGGGCCTCAGTTTTCTCTTCAGCAAAAGCAGACTAGAGCCTGTAGTTGTCACAATCTAGTGTGCTCTTGGAATCCACAGGGGGCAGTGTCTAAAATTCAGGTTCCTGGGCCCCACCTCTAGAGGTTTTGGTTGGGTGAGTATATTTCTTTTTTAAAAAATATGTTTTTATTTATTTTTTAGGGAGAGAGGAAGGGAGAGACAGAAATATCCATGTGAGAGAGAAACATTGTCTGCCTCCTACATGCCCCTCACTGGGGATTGAGCTTGAAAGCTGGGCTGTGCCCTGACCAGGAATCCAGCCAGGACTTCTCAGTCCATGGAGCGATGCTCAGTCCACTGAGCCACACGGGCCAGGCTGGTGAGTATATTTCTGACACCACCTGCTCACCAACCCCAGGTGTTCTGACAGGGGGTGTGCACCAAACTTAGAGGAAGGCTAAACTAGATGATCTCAAAGGCCCACTCTGTATCCAGCTCTGATCTCATTATAAAAAGGGGAGAGAGGAAGGTGCTGGGCCCGGGGTAGAGTCCTGCCTGGACCCTGGTGGGAAGTCAGGGTGAGGAGGGAGGCTGTCAGCACACAGCCTGAAGGGCTGTCTCAGGGCCAAGGCATGGAGGACCAGGCAGGGAGACGCACAGGTGGAGCCCAGGAGTCCTGACTTCCAGCCCTGCTGGGTCTGAGTGTCCAAGGTTGGCCTTTAGCCTGTTCCTGTCTTACCAAGTGTGAGAGGTTGATCTTATTCTTCTGTGTCTCCGTGGCCAGTTGAGCTGAAAGAGACCAGAAGGAATACCCTGAGGCCAGGAGTAGCCAGGAGTAGCCTGCAGCTGTCCCACAGAGGTGGACTGGCCTCCCTGCACCTTTGGTCAGGGGCTTCCTAGAGGAATTCGGTGGGCAGGTTGGCCCCATAAGCCCCTTCTGGCTCAGCAATGACCCAGCCATGGAAATCCCTCACGTGGGCCAGAAACGGGCTGGGGCAGTAAAACCCTGTGTGCAAATCACTGCTTCTTAAACCTCAGTGTGCATATAGGGCCCCAGGACATGTTATTAAAATGCAGATTCTAAGTCAGTAGGTGGGCCTTAGGGCCAGAGAGTCTGCATTACTAACAGGCTACCAGGGACCGTCAAGGCTACTAGCTGGGGACCACAATTTGAAAGGCAAAATGCTAAAAGGCTCTGAGGTTGGGGCCAGGAATGCTCCCACGCTGTATGAAACTCCCTGATTTCTCTGCAGGGACTTGGGGACATGGGCAAAGCTGACATTTCTTCCTGGGGCTATGCAGATCCAGGATGTCCCCATGGCCATCTGCACAGGGACAACATTGCCAATTTGCAAAGTGCTTTCCCAGACATCTTTCCGGCTCCACTACTTCCTAGCTATGCAAACACTTAAGGATAAGCCACTTAATCAAGTTGTGCTTCAGTTTCTTCCCCTGTATAATGGGAGTATTTGTAATAAGTAGTTCCTAACTTCACAGTACTGAGGAGATTAAAGGAGATAAAAGTAACATAAACCACACAACAATGCCTGGCACCTGGTTGCTCCTATCACTGTTATTTCAGTTATTATCTGTGCTGTCCATTGAAGGGGCCACGAGCTACCCAAGGTCACTGAGCACTGGACATGTGACTACTGTGAATTACACTGGGTTTCACAGACTCAGTATGGAAAAATAAATGTAGACTATGTATCATTAATATTTTTATATTGTTTCCATGTTGAAATAACTGTATTTTGGTTATGTTAAATAAAATATATGATTAAAATTAACATCACTAGTTTCTTTTTAATTTTTTCATGTGCCTATCAGAGAATTGTAAATGACATATGTGGCTTGTATTCTATTTCTATTGGACATAATCTGTGATCTAAAGGAGCCGAGGTTCAGGGAACTTAGGTGGTTTCCCCAAGGTCACACAGCTAAAAAGATGGCAGACCTGGGATTTGAAGCCAAGCCTGGAATGAAGCTGAGCACCTCTGGAGACCCAGTGGCCACAATGTAAGTTATGCTCAAGTTCAGTGCTTGGTCCGGCCTCCCCGCCTACAGTCAGTCATCACACGAGGAGACCTGCAGAGACTGAACTTGGATTCTCTGGGACTGATAGGGAGAGAAGTGATGAGTTCGCGTGGACGGGAGCAAGCTGAAAGTCCCCAACCTCCCACTCCCCCACTGAATGACTCCCCCACTGAATGACTCCCCCACTGAATGACCAATGTTGATGGTCCTTTGGTCCCCTCGCCCATCTCTCAGACAGACGTACTGAGCTATGAGGTTTCTCTGGGGGGGGGTGGTGGGGACTTCAGGTCCCAGTGAGGTCCCCGGCTGGAAGCCTCCCACCCACTCCATCTACCTTTGCTCACCTTGCTTCCTCCACCGGAGCATGCACCCGCCGATGGCAGCCAGGCCTGTGACCAGCAGAAGGGTCAGCAGCACTAGGACCGGCGCCAAGATGCGGACCATTGTGGGGGACACCCTGCAGAAGGCGGCCAATGGCTGTCACCAGATATCAGCGGCATGCTGTATACCACGACATTCTTATCCTGAGTCCCGGCCACGTCCCTTGTCTTTCCCAAGGAGATCAGAGGGCACCAGGGACCAAACATCTAGTCAGTTCCAAAGGAAAGGGTCCCAGCCCCCACTGCCAACGCCAAGAGACACTTTCAGCTGGGTCTGCACTTGCCAGCAGTTACCTGGATGTCAGTAATGGGGTACAGTTATGTATGAACCCCGAAGGACCAATACTTCAGGCTAGGACTCCAACTGGGTAGGAAAAACTATTTTGGTTCCATATTTTTATGCTTGGCACAGGGCCCAGTGCAAAGTATATAGGCAGAAGCTACTGAACTAGTGACTGTCCCTGAGGCCTGGCAGGGAGAGGGTGGACCCTTCACCTTGGGTGGGGCTGTTGTCCAGGCAACAGGGCTGCGGGCCCCTGTAGGGCAGGTTGGTCACTACTGCCTCAGGAAGCTGTCTGCCTGGAGAGAGCAGTGTTAGGTTCCTGTTTGCCCAAAGGCCCCTTCTGGTTTGGGGATGGCCTAAAGGTGACCTTGGTCACCTGGAGCTCACCTGGACTTGGAGCTGCTGCTTCTGAGGACAAGACTGGTGTCTTCTGCTGAGGTGGAATCCAGGTTCGTCGATGGGCGGGAGGTCCCTGCATGAGGAGAGGTTGCTTTGTGAGGAGAGGTGTCTTCATACGGAGAGGTCCCTGCACGAGGAGAGGTCCCTGCGCGAGGAGAGGTCCCTGCGTGCGGAGAGGTCCCTGCATGAGGAGAGGTCCCTGTGTGCGGAGAGGTCCCTGCGCGAGGAGAGGTCCCTGTGCGAGGAGAGGTCCCTGCGTGAGGAGAGGTCCCTGCGCGAGGAGAGGTCCCTGCGTGCGGAGAGGTCCCTGTGCGAGGAGAGATCCCTGTGCGAGGAGAGGTCCCTGTGCGCTTGTACGGGGACATCCCTGTAGACGGAGAGGCCCTGGCCTCTGTCTTCCCCTGCTTGGCTGTGGTGACTGTCGAGTGGACACCAGGAGAAGCTACAAGTCCAAAAGCAATGCCTCAGCACCTGACCTGACCTTTGAATCCCATCCCCAGACCTCTGAGCCTTGACCCCCGAACCCTCTTCTCCCCAGGACCAGTTTCTCAGAGCATCCCCAGGAAAGGACACTCCAGAAGCAGAGGCCTACACAAAGCCGTTTGGAGCAAGCAAGCCACATCCCAGGTACACCCCCTCCTGTGCACACTTTCTAGTCCCTTTCTGAGCCTGACACCTACTCTATGTGGGGACATGAGCCCCTGCCCCCACCTCTGTGACCCATTCCAGTGACCACTCGGCAGATGCCTTCCTGCCTTCCCCATATAGTCACCTCTGCCCTCACCTGAAAGTCCTCATGTCACCATCACATGCCCACCCCTACCACCTGTGCCTCAGCAGGCCATGGGTTTGACAGGCAGGGTGCCAGGGTCAGCTCCAGAGGTCAGGGCAAAAGGCCCAGCTTCTCCTGCTAGCTCCTCAGACCCCAGGGTGAACACCCAGAACTTTGTCGTCAGGCTGTTTCTGCTTCCTGGCTCTGCTGCTTCCTGTGTGACCTTGAACAAGCGACCTAACCCTGCTGATCCTCCCATTCCTCAGCTGACAGTCCAGCTCCCGGGATGTGGGGGCCACAAAGTGCAGCGTCTGACACCAGGCAGGCGCTCACTGGGTGTTTCTCTACAAAGGGGCAGGAGAGGGGCAGAAAACCATTCACTCACTCAACTCTGGGGGCTGAGTTTGCCAAGCTCTGGCCTTGGGCTGGAGGCTTGTAGCAAGAGGCTGGAAGAAGGGGGTGGGGAAGGGAGGACAGCAGGGACCTAGAGGAAAGGAAAGGCTGGTCTCAGGGCGGCAGGGATCACTGCTCCGAGCCAGATTTCCTGCCTTGGGAGCAGCCAGCAGCTTCCCCACCCCCACCTCCACTCAGAGCATCGCCACCTTTTCCCTCAGCCACTCAGGAGCCACAGATGGTGGATTCCAGCGGACTGCTGGCCTTCCCCTCCTGCAGTCCCCTCGGCCTCCCACTTAGCTCAGACCTCCAGCTTCCCTTGTCCCCCACTGCCCATTGACCTCTTTCCACACTGCCTTTCACACGGATGCGTTTTGTCTGTAAAATATATATTGGAACCCATCACTTTCTGCTTTAGAACAGTCAATGGCTCCCCATTGCCCGTAAGCTGAAATTCAAACCTTTTCTCATGCCTTTCAAAGCCTTTTAAACTCAGACTTCAATCCATTTCGCCGACTTCACCTCTTCCCCATCCTTGCACCAGCCATACAGGGTTACCCTCTAGTCCCATATAAGCTAGCCTCCTGCCTGCCCCCCACCTTCGACGCATTGTTCCTCTGTGCGCCATGCATTTCCCGTCCATCTCTACCTAACACACGCTGCCTCAAAAGTCAGTTCCTCCTCAACACTTTCCCTGGAAGGAGCAAATCCTTTGTCTTCTGTGTACCCACAGTACCCTGGACATGTCGCCAGTGGAGCTAATACTCAGTTTGTGGCAATCACTTGTTTACGGGGTCTCCACAGTAGGCTAGGACTTCTCAAGGACAAAATGCCTAGCCTCCGTGCCTAGCACAATGGGCAGAAACCCAGTGTGGCCAAACCACTGAGCTCCCTGCCTCCCCGAGTCCACTGGTCGCCTCCTTTCTGATTTACATGCTATCCTGGACTCTTCTCCTGTCGAACCATTTTCTATTCTAATCTAAGCCAATTTTTCTCCAATTTTTCTGAGTAAATGATCACATCTGCAGATAACGAGTATTTTTCTTTTCCTTTCCAATATGTATACTTGTTGATCTTGACCTAGTTCATCGCCCAGGGCCTCCAGGTAATGAATACAAGCGATGAGAATAGGCACTCTTGTCTTGCTCTGACCTTCCTAGAAATTCTTCTAATGTTTCCCCATACTCTGGGGTGTGCTGAGACACTCACACTAGCTCATGAGAGCTAAGATTTAGCTTTTTGGGGAATTTTGTGAGCCAGTTGTTAAACTGTTGGTGGCTGGAAATTGGCTATGGCAGGGGTGTTGACACCACAGAAATGGGCAAACACTACAATTCAGTTTCCCCAGCCAGTTGTTAGACATTCACCAGCACACCACTGTCATTAGCTTTTTAAAAAAATTTTCAATGTCCCAACTGTAATCAGAGATGCCAACAGGGTCTGATACAGGAGGATAATATAATGATGCATGTTATACTCAAATAAATATAAGTGAGGGTAAAAAGGAAAACAGAGGGGCCTCAAATATAGGTGAAATTGGTCTCCACTGGGTAAAAATGAGGTCTGAATACTAAGAAATGGAAGACATTTTGTAAATATGTCTTGCAAATAATGGAGAATAGGTTCAATATGTTTTTGATGCTGCTTTTATTATTTGGTGAGTTTATCTTTGTTTACCTGAATTAAAATAAAGACCCATGGATGATGGGGATCTGGCAGTAGGGCGGGCCTGGGGGGTTGGGTCCCAGCTCTGGGGCCGGAACAGGGAAAGCAGATGCCAAAGTCAGAAATGACCTGCTTTTGAATCTTGGCTCCACCACTTCCTGCCATGAGACCCAGGGCCAATGATTTGATCTCTCAGAGTCTCAGTCCCATATCTGTGAAATGGGATACAAAGACCCACCTCACTCTTACTGACACTCAGACTGGGGCTGCCCACCCCCTGGGCCCTCTCTGGCTTTCTCCTTGGCTCAGCAGGTCCAGGTGGGATTCTGGGCACCCAGGGAGGTGCTCCATCCTCAGCCAGAGCCCCATGGCTCCAGCCCCAGCCCCCTGATGTTTCCAAGCTCAACAAGCCCCTCAGAGGCTGGTTCCCAGGCACCCCTACACCTGTCCATGGAACTTCAAGATCCCGGGAAGAGGAGGTGAGAAGGAAGAGCTGAGGCTACATGGAGGTGAGGCCAGTGTGGCCACGGTGACACTGTGGGGTGGGTCCGGGATTCAGTGATTATGGGCTCAGCCTGAGGAATCCTCTGGACTGTCTCTGACTCCAGGGAGAGAGGGAATCTTTTTTATTCTATGGGATGTCCATTTTGTCCCCAGCCCATGGCAATCTCTCCCCCACATCTGGGCAGAGAGGTCAGGCACTGAGCCTGGAGTTGGACAGAGCTGGGTTGAATGCTGTTCTGCCACCTACTAGCGGTGTGACCTTGGGCAGCAAGAGTGAAAGAACAGCTGAGGCTCATGCAGCAACATCTGTGCCCCAGACGCTGCTGCACATTTGACCTGTGTGATTTCACGGAGTTCTTGACGCCCCCCTCCCCCACAGGCATTATGCCCTCTGCGTTAGGGAAACTGGGTCCACTACTGACCACCTACCCACCCCTCCCTCCCCCTCTGCATCTCCTGCCCTCCAGCCAGGAAAGCAGAGACTTCTGTTACCTGGAAGGACTATCAGAGAGACCAGGAATGTCTCATCAAAGCCTAGTCTTTTGACTCCGCACCAGTACTCTCCCGAGTCCTGCAGGGCGAGATTCCTCAGGGTCACGTTGAGCGTGCGATTCCAAAGGTTGTTTTGGATGGACACCCTGCCCTCTGTCCTCTCCTTGCCGTCTTCTGTTGCGTAGATAATGCCAGAGCAGCGGCCAAAGAGGATCCCGCTCTTCCTGCACCAGTATTTCTTGTATCCTCCCAGATTTTCCCCATAGGTACACTGTAGGGACACAGTGTCACCTTCGAATCCTCTGATCTTCTTCGGGCCCATTATGGCTCCATAACCTGAAATCACAGCAGGGGTGGAGGTTGGAATTCCCTGGGTTCAAGCACCAGGGTCCAGACCAGAGATTTTCTCATCACCCCTTTCCGGGGGCAGTCCTGTCAGAGTTGGTACCCCCTGCTCCCGCCAGGGGACCTCGAGACAGGGCTGTTGAAATATATTATTTCTACATAATTATTTCCCTAAAGGTTGTGGGTGGGGAAGCTCTAGCTTCAGACACCCTGGAATTAGAATCCCAGCACTGCCACTTAGTAGCTGTGTGACCTTGGGGAAGTTGCTTGAGCATTCTGGGCCTCTGAGTTTTCTCATGGATAGGTGATGGCAGTGTCCTATTTAATTTTTTTCTGTTGAAAAGAACTATTTTTTATTGATAGACATAATAACTTAAAGGCGAACATTTCTTTATATGCAAAATCCCCTTTCTGTTGGTAGAGGTCTGTGGAAAACCAGCCTCATGTCTGTTACAATGAGCTGCTCTGGCTGGAGACTGGAAACTGCGGTGGCCGCTGAAGCTCAGGGAATTCTGCCGCCTCTGGACAGTCCCCCAGCCACACAGGGCACTGCCAAGTGAGGACTTGGTCATGACCTGGTCATGGGGGTAACTGACCTCCTGCTAAAACATGATAAGGTAGTGGGGTGGCTCCTCTCCTCACATGGACTTTCAGAGTCTGCCTGGGTGTCTAATAAGTGGTCATGTTAATAACTGGAGACTCAGATATAAAGATGGGGTTCCAAAATAATAATGAGCCCTGGCTGGTTTGGCTCAGCGGTTAGAACGTCGGCCCACGGACCAATGAGTCGCGGGTTCGATTCCGGTCAAGGGCTCGTACCTCGGTTGCAATTCATCCCTGGCCTTATTGGAGTCGTGCGTTAGGCAACCACTCGGTGTGTCCCTGTCACATCGATGTTTCTCTCTCTCTCCCTCCCACTCTATCTGAACAAAAATGGAAAAATATCCTGGGGTGAGGATTAAAACAACAACAAAAACAAATAATAAATGAAAAGGCAGGACACAAAAGCACATATTCTGAATTATCTGTTTTTTTTTTAAGGAAAAAACCCAACAATTTTAATGCACACACACAACCAACCTTTTATCATTGGCTATCTCTGCAACAGTTTTCTTCTCTATAATATGTACTTTGTAATTTACTCTTCTTAAAAATTACTTTATTTTATTTTTCAATTACAGTTAACACTCAATATTATTTTGTATTAGTTCCATATGTACAGCATGGTGATTAGACAATCACATATTTTACAAAGTGTTTCCCCTGCTATTTTAGTACTTACCTGGCACCATATGTAGTTATTACAATATTATTGACTATATTTCCTTTGCTGTACTTTACATCCCCATGACTTTTTGTAACTACCAATTTGTAGTTTTTAATCCCTTCACCTTTTTCACCCAGTCTCCCACCCACCCTCTCTCCTTGGCAACCATCAGTCTGTTCTCTGTCTCTCTGAGTCTGTTTCAATTTTATTCCTTCACTTGTTTTGTTCTTTAGGTTCCACATGTAAGTGAAATCACGCTGTTTATCTTTCTCTGACTGACTTATTTCACTTAGCTTAATAGTCCCTCTAGGTCCATTCATGCCGTCACAAATGGTAAGATTTCATTCTCATTTGATTTCAGATGCCACCCTTTCCAGTGTGGCTCAGCTGTTAGATCATCGGCCCTTGGACTGAGGGGTCACAGGTTTGATTCCCAGTCAGGGGCACATACCTGGCTGCAGGTTTGATCCTCGGCCCTGGTAGGGGTGGTGTGGGAAGCAACCAGTGGATGTGTCTCTCTCACATCAATGTTTCTCTCTCTTCCTCTCTCCCTCCCTCCCTCCCACTCTATCTGAAAAATCAATGGAAAAATATCCTCAGGTGAGGATTAGCAACAACAAAAATTTAAGATGCCATCATATGTAAGATACACTATAATTTTATACACTACCAAGAAAAACATTGTCAACTGAACAATTGACATCACTTATAAGATGCATCCTGATTTTTGATATTAAAGGTTTTTTAAAAAAGCATGTCTGCAAACTGAGGAAATGGGATAATTCTTTACTTCCCAGGGTTGTTGTGAGTGGCAGAGCTGAGTTTAACGTGGCAGCCGTACAGGGGTGTCTTCTCTGCCTCCAGGCTTGGTGCAGAGTAGGAAAATGATGAGAGAGGTAAAGCTTCTCTCACACCCACACAGCACGAAGAAGCTGGAACCCCTAGGTCTGGAACATCTGGCTCTGGGTTCTAGAACCAGCAAGTGGCGAGGGCCCTCCGAGGGAGGAGGCTGAGGACCTCGGGCCGGCCGGGTTGGGGTGAATGAAGCCTGAAAGGACCTGGCAGGCCTGCGTCACAGCCACATGCACAGCGGGAAAGGAAGTGCAGGTTCAGGAGGTCCTCTCTCCGCAGACCCGAAGAGCGAGCTTGGGCCCGAGCCCCACATCCCTCCACTACTCCCTCTGCTCCGTCTCACCTGGGAGCACGAGGCAGCCCCACAACAGGACGAGGGGCCTCATGGTGGGCGCCGGACACGCAGGAGCACACGCTGGGAACTGGGAGCGCCTCTCAGGAGCATATGGGTTTTAACTTCTCCCAGAGGAGCGAGATCCAAACGAGGAAGGGAGGGGAGGGCCCGGCCCAGGGAGCCGCCTCGGCCACGCCCTTTACTTCTCTACCCCCCGCCCCGCGTCAAAAAACAAAACAGAACAAATCCGCCCCCCTCCCCCACGGGAGCGCTTCTCCCAAACCCGTGCGCCCTCCAGGGAGTCTTAACCATGCCCACAGCCATACACCCAAGGAGAGGGGGCGTCTGTGTGTAAAATTCAGGGAGTCCATGAATTTGGAGGAGAAAAAATTACACACTGACTTGCACTAACCTTTAGGTAATATGGTTTCCTTCTGTTATGAGTGTTAGCAGGACCTGTGACTTGTTTACCAATAAAATCACAGACACTAGCACATTAAGTTGTTACCGATAGCTCAAAACACCATGTTGGCTTCTCACTGCTTGGAAAATCTTTAGTTATTAGACCTGGTTATTTAAAGCGCTAATAAAGAAGCACATTTATTCCTATATTACACACAAATATTTTGATAACCACTTCAATATTACTGGTTTTCTTCTAAGCATATGCATTTTATTTTACATATTTAGAAGACCATTATTCTGAGAGGGGGCCCATAAGTTTCACCAGACTGCCAAGAGGTCAATGGAAGAGGTTAGAGCCCCTGAGGTAGTGCCCACTGCCCCTCCTTCCTCGCCTACCGGAGGGCGCAGTACGGCCCTTGGCCACCGGGCGGCGGTGCAGGCGGGGTGAGGGAAGCTGCAGGGCTGGGAGCCGGAGCCATCTGCAGGCCGCGCCGCAGGGCTGGTCTCCCCAAGTGCGCGCAGTTGCCTTGGCATTAAAAAAAGTGAGTTAGCAATTTCCCACCGGAGAATTGAATCCTCACAAAAAGGAACAAAATAAATACGGACACTAGAGGGAGCCCTAACACATAGTTTTCCAAAATAGCTCTGTTGGATTTTTTTATTGCAAAATTCATACAGGTTGTAAGCGAAATTTTACACAATACAGAAATGCTATATATAAAAAAGAACAATGGGAATGTTTCCTGTAATTTCCCTTCTCACTCAGAAAACCACTGTTGACATTTTGACATGTATACTTCCATATATACAGTTAGAATTTTATCCACTTGGTGGGCTAATATTTGAAGCAATAACTCAAGGGTTCTGAGGTGTGTGTGTGTGTGTGTGTGTGTGTGTGTGTGTGTGTAAGAGAGAGAGAGAGATTCTGGTGATGTGGGTGTGGGAGACAGGTTTTAATTTCACAGTGATTGGGGGCACTACTGGGCAGGGACAGAGGTTCACATCAGAGAAAACCCTGTAAAGATGATCCCAGCCCAGGACCCCACTCCCATTACATGTATAGACTGCAAAAGGTAATCAGTTTTTGCAGTTTTAAAAACACAGATTAAAATAATATTTATTCTAGCATTTGACAGTATATCTCTGTTCTTTCATTTTTTGTTTTGCCCTTATACAGAATAATTTCTGATCTTTCTATTTATCTTAAATCTTAACTTATTTATTGTAGGCAGGGACGAACATCTGACACTTTCATGTTTTCTAGTGTCACGGGGTCTGTGCACTGACACTTTGAAATATGTGTTATTTGGTGACAAGTTGTTTTTCTTTTATTTTCCCCTCTATTACAGCTCAGGCATTATATTGTAATTTTTAAAAAGTAAGTGTGAGCCCTGGCCAGTTTTGCTCAGCGGTTAGAGCATTGGCATGCGGACCAGAGAGTCCTGGGTTTGGTTCTTGCTAAGGGTATGTACTTGGGTTGCAGTTTGTTCCCAGCCCGGTTGGGGTTGTGTGGTCGGCAACCACTCGCTGTGTCTCTCTCACGTCGATGTTTCTCTCTCTCTCTTCCTCTTTCTCTCCCTCCCGCTCTATCTGAAGATAAATGTAAAAATGTCCTCGGGGGAATATATATATATATATATATAAATAAAAGTAAGCGTTAGAAGACATATTGTTTGTTATTGCATTTCAGGAGAGTAAAAGAAATGTTACCAAAAAATTTAATTTTTATGTAGAGTGTGTTTGATCTAATACACATCATCCTTGCTCCCTTCATGTGTTTGGTGAGGTCCTTCTCTCCACTGCCCCATACCTAGCCAGAAGCTAGGTTTGAGGACACTGTTAGAAACAACCTACAGGCCCAAAAGTATTGCAAGAGCTGGGGAAAGGGGCTTAGAGTGAGGGGCCAATATGAGCCCTGTACCTGGTCCTACCCCATGGGGTAGAGTGGGGGCAATAGGATAGATCTCCCTGAGGGGTTTGGGGATCTGAGAGGAGAGGACAGTTGTGTCTTGCTTCTTACCAGGAGCACTGGGAAGTGCCCTGCCGTCATAGGATGGGACCGCAGTGGGGCAGACGGGCTCCTGACCCAGCAGGCTTGCAGCAGCCTTGTCACGTTCCCATGGCATCTGTGTGCCAGAGAGTGGTTTGGCTGCGCCTGGAGGCACCATGGCTGGGATGAGGGGATGCAGCAGACATGGGGAGGAAGAAACAGCCGCAGTGGAGCCCACAGGAAGTTGGAGAGCCCAGAGGATGCTGGCAGAGGCAGACAAGGATGAAGGCTGCCCCCTACTTCTCTAGGCCCTGATGATAAGTAAAGACCTCCCGGACTTAGAACCACCTAAGGGAGAAGGGAGGAGTGGGGAGAACCCTATAGAGACTGAGTTTGCTCTGAATCAGCTGAGAAGATCAGAGTTGAAACTGAAGTCCCAGCCAAGGGGCAGGGTTTAAAACCTGTTAGCAGGGTAGACAAAATCTGGCCAAAAAAAGGCTCAGCTTGACAGGTGCCACCTAGTCATCCTGGTCCAGTTCCCCTCTGGTTTGGACTCACTTGGACTAGGTCACTTCTGATGATCTAAGATAGTCATTTGTTCCCTTTGGATCAGGTTTTCTCAACAGCAGAACTATTAACATTTGAGGCCAGACAATTCCCTGTTGTGGGGCCTGTCCTGTGCATTACAGGGTGTTTAGCAGCATCTCTGGCCTCTATCACCAGATATCGGTAGTCCCCACCCTGCCCCGAGTTGTGACAATAAAACATGTCTCTAGATATTGTCAAATGTCCCCCTGGGAGGCAAAATTACCCTGGCTTGAGAATCACTGTTTTAGGTGATGAATGAAACTATGAAAAAATAAAGTGTATTGTGTTTATACAGGTGCAGTAACAAGGTTTTGGTATAGGAGAATGGGCTTCCTAATACTGAACCCCAGAATTAAGCAGACTTTACACAGTCACTGGCAATGCTAGAAAACTTCAAGCCTAGACCCCCTGCCCCCTAAATACACACACACTGTGGGGCTGGGGCCATCCCTGCCACACTCAGGAGTAGTGTAAACACACACTCTCTGCTGGAGAGCCAGCTCCCAAGAGAAAGGGAAGAAAGAAGGCTGGATGCCACGTGTCTTGTTTCTCTTTCCAATTCATCAATCAAATAAGTGACGTGGAGAGAGGGCAAGGCTGTTATACCAGTGGGGCTCTCTCCTCATGGAAGGAAGCATCGGGGGTGGAGAAGATATGTTCCTGACAGAGACGGGTGAGCCACAAGCTGAAAAGAGCCTGGATCCCCGAGTTACTACGTGGAGGAAAGCTGCCCTGACAGCTGCCATGCCCGCAGCACACCTGGTGTGAGCAAGACAGACTTTTATGTGTTCAGCCACTAAGATTTTGCAGTTTGTTTTCTGTTTTCTCATACACATTTCATCTTCGATTCCACCTATGGCCCCTGCCTTCCTCAGCCAGTGGCAAACGCAATTGTTTGACTTCCTCCACTGGTACAAATCTGAAAACTCCTTTCAAGATTTTTATGTTGACTGTTTTAAGGATTTCTTACTTCTAGGAATGACAGTGAAATGATGGGGGAGGGCAGACCAGGTAATGAGGGCCACCCTCCCTCCGAAGCTGGGTGAAATAGCCATGTATTTTAAAGTCTTCAAAAACATTGAAGGCTAAAGGCAGTGTGGTGTCTTGGATTGGATCCCAGAACAGAGAAAGGATGTTAGTGGAAAAACTAGTCAAATACTAATAAAATCTGGAGTTTAGTTACTAGTAACGTACCAGAGTGGATCTCTTAGCTGTGACAAATGTACCATGGGTATGGAAGATGTCAATGTTAGGGGAACAGACAGAATGAAGGACATTCAGGAGTATCTATAAATCTTAAATTATTCCACAGTGTAAAGTTCAAGAAAAAAAAGCAGTAAAGAGCTAATAAAAACAGGAGGGATTACCCAGCCCAGGTCTGCTGGTAGAAACCCGGAAAAGCCAGCTGAGTGTGCAAGGTGCTTTTGACCTGGGGAGCCATCAGGAGGGGCCTCTAGGGCAGTGGTTCTCAATCTGGGGGTCACGACCCCGTTGGGGGTCCAACGACGCATTTTTCTGATGGTCTTAGGAGCTGAGACACGGCTCCTCTGTCCGTCCCCAGGTGGTCCGCCCACATACAACATGAGGAACTGTATTAAAGGGTCGCGGCATTAGGAAGGTGAGAACCACTGCTCTACGGGATGAGTTAGGAGTCTAAGGAGATATATATATAATCACCTTAGACTAGAACTCCAAAGGGCTTCACTTTGGGAGAAGGGTGAACTGCAAATAAACCAGGGCACCATGGGCTTTCATTCAGCTCTGTCCCTAGGTGTCCCAGGAAACTTCAAGCTCTGAACTTGAATTTAAAAAATGGTCCTGGAACTTCCGGTCAAGATGGCGACGTAGGGAAACGCAGTATCACGTTCTCCCACAACCACATCCAAGTTACAACAAAACTACAGAACAACCATCATCCAAAACCGCCTGAAATCAAGCTGAATGGAAGTCCTACAACTACGGAATTTAAAAAAAAGGCAGCTACATCCAGACTGGTAGGAGGGGCGGCGGCGCGAGGGGTGGCGGCAGCGGCACGGCGGCGGCGCGACGGGCTGGTCCCACACCCAAGTGTGGCGGATAAA